GAATAGGAAAGAATAAAATCAATAAAATGGAATTAATAGAATAGAATGCAGAGAACAGAACAGAAAATAGAATAAAATTAATAGAATAGAATTAATAGAAAGAATAGGATAGGATAGAATAGAATAGAATAGAATATTGAAAACAGAACAGAGCGGAACACAATACTTTATTTAGTCAAGCGTGGTTAGCCACACCAGGAATTTGTCTCTGGTGCAGAAACACTCAGTGTATTTGCAAAACAATAGAGAAAATCATCACCACCATTTTCATTTGTGCAATCTCTGGTCAGACCACAGATCTACTTAAAAAAAAAAAGAAAGAAAGATTTTAGCCAGCGAGCCAAGCTGCATGCCTAAGCAGGAGAAGAATTGTTTAAAAATCTTTCTGTCAACCCATAAAATCTGACCTGGGCAACAAATCCTCGACTGATTTTTGGGCAGTTGCCCGTGTCCCTCCCACAGACGTGGCTTGTGCTTTCAGTCCAATCTGAGGTTTGTCTGTTCCTGTATCCCCGTAGCACCCCCTCCCCAGCCCCCGTCCCCCGATGGCGCCAGACGACGGGACCGAATGGCTTCTGCAGCTGCTGAGCGAAATCCAACTGGAGCAGTTTTACCTCAGGATCCGAGACGAGCTTCACGTCACCCGCCCGAGCCATTTCGACTACGTCAAGCCCGTCGACCTGGACCGCATCGGCCTGGGGCGCCCAGGTGAGGTGCAGGGAAGGCGGGAACAGGGGAGAATTGTGCAGGAGCACGGGGCAACTCTGCTCCGCGTGGACGCCTCTCGCGAAGACTTCCCAAGTTTATAGTCCTCATGAGGTGAAGGCGGGTGGGGGGTGGAGGTCGGGAATCAACCAGTGTAACGATCGGCTCATCAAGCCCGCAATTTGCGCTTTGTTTTTTAAAAAACGGCCATTTTCAGCTTTGAAATTCACCTTCGACTGCAGCCTCAGTGAGTAAAACAGCAGTGGCACAACCATCGCGCCGTGTGAATCAGCTGGGCTTCAAAACACGGAAATATAGGACAGACTAGGCGAACCTACGGCACGTGAGCACGCGCGCCCCAGCCAAAGTTACCAGCACTGCTCATGCGCGTGCCTCTCAGCTGATTTTTGGCCCGTTGGAGGCCATTTTCACCCTCCCGCAGCCTCGGGAGGCCGAAAAACAGGCCTTCTGGAAATACCGGAAGTGGCGAAACAGGCCCATTTTTCAGCCTCTCGAGGCTGCAGAGGCTTCCCTCCAGCCTCCGGGAGGACGAAAATGGCCTCCCCCGGGCTCCAGAGGCCCTCCGGAGGCTGAAAACAGGCACTTCTGGTACTTCCAGAAGGCCCGTTTTTCGGCCTCCTGAGGGTGCAGAGGCTTCTCGAGGGAGCCTCCGGGAGGGCAAAAATGGCCTCCCCCGGACTCCGGAGGCTGAAAATGGGCACTTCCGGTATTTCCGGAAGGCCCGTTTTTCGGCCTCCCGAGGGTGCAGAGGCTCTCTTTGAGCCTCATATGGGCTGAAAATCAGCTGAGAGGTGCACACATGCAAAAGTATTGTGCGCGCATGTGCAAGGGGGTGCAGGCCGCATTGCATGTGGGCTGCCAGCACACGCGCTCTTTCGGCACACCACAACACAAAGGTTCACCATCACTGGACTAGGGAAGCGGCGGGTGGACGGGGCCAACGGATTGCTAGAACAACCAGTTCATGCGAACCGATCCAAACCGGCTGAATCCCCACCCTTGACGTGAAGGGAGAACAGACAGGGAGAGCGCGCGGTGCAAAAGGAGGATGAAACCGGACCTCAAAATCCTGTTGAAAATAAATAAATATATTGGGAGTCCTCGTCTGATGACTGTTGCTAAGCGAGGCAGAGGTTAAGGGAAACTTTTGGGCCCATTTTACAACCTTTCTGGCCGCTGTTGTTAAGCGAGTCACCGCCGCGGTTCAGCCCATCGCCGGGTAGTGAAGCGAATCCGGCGTCCCCCTGGGTTGGCAGACGGTCGCAAAAGGGGAATTGTATGACTCCCCGGAATCGTCGTAAGTATGAGTCAGTTGTCCGAATTTTTCAAGTGTGGAAAAGCGGTCCATGAGGCCACCTTTTTTCAGGGCCATTGTTAACTCTGAACAGTCGCTCAAGCCAAGGATCCCTGCAACGGAGGAGTCTGCTCCTAGACGCCATCTCTCACAAGACTTCCAAAGTTCCTAGTCCTCATGGGCACCCGAGAGAAAAAGCTGGGGACGGCGCCTGGTATCATATAATACAGGATGCTACAGGAGGTTCAAAATGGATGTGTGTCTATTTAAATTGAATATAAAGGCCTTCCCTTTTGCAAGAACTGTTATCAAGGGGACAAAAATAGGGGTCCCCGCCCCCTTCATTTGGCAACGTTGAAGACACCACTTGAGGCTTTCAAGAAGAGATTGGACGGCCATTTGTCAGAGTCGGGTCTTCTTCTTGGGCAGGAGGTTGGACTAGATGACCTCCCTTCCAACTCTGTTATTATTCTGTTACTCAAAAATTGTGGGAGCTTCATCCCTGGAGGCTTTCAAGAAGAGACTGGACTGCCCTCCGTCACAAATGGTGTAGGGTCTCCCTGCTTGGGAGGAGGGGGGTTGGACTAGATGACCTCCAAGGTCCCTTCCGACTCTGTTATTCTATATTCAGTGGAACAGAAGTTGCCTTCGGAAGTTGTGGGAGCTTCATCCCCGGAGGCTTGCAAGAAAAGGCTGGACTGCCATTCGTCAGAAATAGAGGGTTGGGCGGGGGTTGGACTAGATGACCTACAGGATCCCTTCCAACTCTGATTATCTGTTATCTATGGGCTTTCAATTCCCAGAGTTCCTCAGCCCGCAAAGATTTACCCAGAATTCAGCGCGGATAGGAGGACAAGAAGCCATGTCAATATAGACAACTTTAGCACATTTTTTTTTTCCATAGAGTAATTTTCTTAATAATAGATGGTGGGAATGCAGTAAATGTAATTTATATCTTGACTTCAGCAAAGTTGGGGGCGGGGAAAATGGCCGGCTGAGGAATTCTGGGAGTTGTAGTCCACAAGTTTTAAAGGGGCCAAGCTTGGAGACCACCCCGGACCTATAGAAAGGAATATTACATGCGAATCATTTCCAAGGGATCGCGAAGCCCCCTCCCCTTAAGTCGCCCTTGGAAGCAAAGGGGTCTTGCCGGCCACCATGGTTTGGGTTCGAATTTGATTTTCCCAGACTGAGGTAGCTTTTATCTTACAGGTCAGCGGCGGCTCGAAGAGGCCTTGAAACGCCGGAGGGGTCAAAGTCAGCGCCCCAAGTCCTGGGTTTATAAGGTGAGTGCGGGGACCCTCCCCTCAAAGGGACACGCCTGGGGGGGGCAGGTTTGGGGGGGGCGGGCATGTTACGCGAGAGGAATTTCCTGCAGCCGTGGGGATCTGGCTGTTCCCTGGGGCAGGTTTGGAGAAGCGAAAAGAGGGGTGGGTTTATTTGGGGAGTGGGCCGTTGGTGGGGGGGGGGGAGAAGTGACACCACAACTTGCCAAATAGAAGAGAATCTTTGTAGCTTTGAACTGCGGTGACCTGGGGTGGTTTGTCTGAGCCAGGTGGTTACCTTGCAGACGTTTCGTGACCCAGCTAGGGAACGTCATCAGTGCTAGAAGGAAGAGGGGGTTGTGGGGAAGAGGAGGAGGAAGAGGAGGCAGAGAGAGGAAGAAGAGGAGGAGGAGGAAGAATAGGAGGAGGAAGAAGGGGAGGAGGAGGAGAGGCAGGAGGAGGAAGAGGAAGAGGAGGAGGAGGAGAAAGGAGGAGGAGAAGAGGAAGAGGAGAGGTAGGAGAAGGAGGAAGAGGAGGAGGAGGAAGAAGAGGAGGAGGAGGAGGAAGAAGAGGAGGAGGAGAAAGAAGAGGAGGAGGGGAGAAGAAGAGGAGGAGGGGAGAAGAAGAGGAGGAGGAGGAAGAAGAAGAGGAAGAGGAGGAGGAAGAGGAGGGAAGAAGAGGAGGAGGAGAGGCAGGAGGAGAAGGAGGAAGAGGAGGAGGAAGAGAAAGAAGAGGAGGA